ATTGCTAACAACCCCGCTAATGGGGGAGTTGTGGGAAGTTTTTTGAAGCTTGGTTCGAGGCTCACGATTTAATTAGGGCGATCGCTGGACTCCTGACATTACATTGCTAAGCAAGGCAGTTGTTAAGTGAGCTGTGCCCCCATTTTGCTACTTTTCTTGGCCCAGCTGTTAAAAGCGAATCTCATTGCGGTTGTTAAGTTAGGAATGCGGTTGTTAAAAGTGAATCTGGATTTCCCCCATCGACTTGGCTTGTCCAAAGGTCGCAAAAGGGTTAGGGTTAAGGTTAGGGTTAGTCCGGTGTGGTGGTCTAGAGGTGGAGCTCTCGCCTCGCAAATCAGGAGGCGGCGAGTTCGATCCTAGGGAGAGGCTAACATTTGGAATAGATTCTTCTGCTTGAGCAGGGGGTTGGACTAGATGACCTCCAAGGTCTCTTCCAACTCTGTTGTTCTAGGTTCTAAAGGGATCACACTGCAACTGTCATAAATATGGGACAGCTGCCAAGTCTCTGAATCACGGGGATGCTGCAACAGTCGTTAAGTGTGAAATAGGGCCCTAAGTCCCTCTTTTTTTTGCCCCCAGTGCTTGTAACTTTGAACGGTCGCTTAAGTGAACTTGTGTAAGTCGAGGACTGCCTCTGCTTTTATCCGCTCGAATTGCAAAAATCACATGCAACGTTTTTCCAAGGGGTTTGCTCAGGCAGGTCAACAAAGCCAACCACACCCAAGGAGGAAGGAAAATCACCATCTACTACCTGGCCCAATCAGGAATAGTACTGGTACTCCTCAGTTTGAGACTATGAAGTTGTGACTGTTGTAAATCAGGTCACCTGTACGACCAATGCAATTTTAATGGGTTTTTTGTTTCTTGCAGTTGTCAGAATTCTGCAACAAGGTTTAAGTGAGACTTTTGGTCAGATCTCAAAAAGTAATACTGCCACATTCAAAGGGGTGCCTGTGGCAAATGGTGTTTTTATAACTGGCATCCTCGTGCCCGGAGCCCACCTCTTGAGGGAAACAGCAGGGAAAGCCATGTGGTTTATTCCGCGCTCAAAGTCAACCGAGGGGGAGGGGGCATAGGACTGTATGCTTACCTGTTTTCTCAAGAGCGACCTGGAAACAACATCTCCACACCTGGGGAGTGGCTGAGATTAACATTCTAGCTAAAAGGAGGGGGTCTCTGCTGCTTTAATTATACTGGTCTTTGCCTAAGGATAGTCAGGCCTTGCTTTTCCAGAGAATCCGTGTTGGTAGGGACCTTGTAGGTCATCTAGCCCAACCCCCTGCCCAAGTGGGAGACTGTACACCCATTTCTGACAAATGGCAGTTCTCAAGTGATGAAGCTCCCACAACTTCCGAGGGCAACGGTTGATTATTCTGTCAGAAAGTTTCTCCTTTATTTCCAGGTTGAATCTTTCCTTGTTCAGTTTCCATCCATTATTCCTTGTCTGGCCTTCGGGCGCTTTAGAAAATAGCTTGACCCCACTTTCTTCTCTCTGGGGCAGCCCCTCAAATATTGGAAGACCGCTATCCTGTCTCCCCTAGTCCTTCTCTTCCCTAGACCTGCTTTGAATCGGATGCTATCATTTTGGCTTAATAAAACGTTCCTTTGAAATCCTTCGGTTTTTCAAGCAAGCGGTGGGATTCAAAATTCGTGACTACCGGCTCTGTGGCTCTAGCGTGGCATGGTGGGCGTGGCAGGGGAAGGTTACTGCAAAGTCCCCATTCCCTCCTCACCCCACTAACCTGCTTTCCAGCTCCATTCTCCTGTGCAGAGCAACAAAAGGAGACCCAGCCAATCAGCTGGGACTCGGGAGGCAGAGAATAGATGGGGGCGGGGCCAGTCAGAGGCGGTCTTTGCCGGTTCTCCGAACTACTCAAAATTTCCACTACCGGTTCTCCAGAACTGGTCAGAACCTGCTGAATATCACCTCTGGTTTCAAGACTCTTCACTTTCTGAAATAAGGTGGATTGGCAGTCCTTAGAGAAACATTTGTTCCGGAAGCTTTGCTCGTTTTACGACCTTTCTTTCCACAGGCGTTAAATGAATCGCTGCCATTCTTAAGTTATCCAACGTGATGGTGAAGCATATCCGGCGTCCCCGTTGCCTTTGCTTGTCAGGCGGTCGCAAAGGGGGAATCACATGCCCCCTCCCTATGGTCATAAATGTGAACCCATCACCGGGCATCTGAATGAACGTTGATCACGCGATCGTGGGGATGCTGCCAAGGTGGTAACTGTGAAAAAATGGCCATTGTTCATTTCCCCCCCCCCCAGTACCGTTGTAACTTTGAACGGTCAGTAAATGAAAATGTTGTTAAGTTGAGGACTACCTGTCACTTCAGTCACTGAAAAGGAGCGGTCATAAGTCAAGAGCTACCTGTGCACTACCCTGGTTTTCATTATTGAATCTGAGGAAACCAATTCAACCTTCAACCCCCTGCAAAATTTTTTTACCACAGGTAGTCCTCTACTTAAAACCATTTGTTTAGCTACTGTTCAAAATTGCAACAGCACTAAAAATACCTCACACTTACGACCATCAGGCAGTTAGATATTAGATCAAGGGACTTCAAAGCTTGGCAGCTTTAAGACTTGTAGACTTCAACTCCCAGAATTCTTCCTCCAGTCATGTTAGCTCAGGAGTTCTGGGAGTTGAAATCCACAAGTCTTAAAACTTGCCAAGTTTAAAGACCCTTGTATTAGATTAACAGTTGGAAGGGACCTTGTTGGTCATCTAGTCCAACCCCTCACCCAAACGGGAGACCCTGCACCATTTCCGACAAATGGCAGTCCAATCTCTTCTTGAAAGCCTCCATTGATGGTGCTCCCACAACTTCCGAGGGCAAAGCTGTTCCATTGATTGATGGTTCTCACTGTCAGAAAGTGTTTTAACAGAAGAATTCTCTGTTAAAACACTTGGAAAAGTGTTGGAAGAGTTGGGACATTGTAGGTCATCTAGTCCAACCCCCCCCCTGCCCAGATGGGAGACCCTACACCATTTCTGACAGATGAGGGTTCAATCTCCTCTTGAAACTCTCAAGGGATGGCTTTCCCACAATTTCCGAGAGCAAAGCTGGTTGGTTGTTCTCCCTGTCAGAAAGTTTCTCCTTATTTCCAGGTTGAATCTCTCCTTGTTCAGTTTCCATCCATTATTCCTTGTCTGGCTTACAGGTGCTTTGAGAATAGCTTGACCCTCTCCTCCTCTCTGTGGCAGCCCCTCAAATATTGGAAGACCGCTATCATGTCTCCCCTGGTCCTTCTTTTCATTAGAGTAGCTGGCATCCGACATAGAGTTATGAGTTACAAGACCTCCGAGTCATGTGATGACCACCTTGTGAACTTCCTAGCTGGTTTCCGACAAGCAAAGTCCAATAGGAGGAAACTGACTCATTTAATGACCATGCAATTCACTTAACAAACTGCCACGCTTTGCTTAGTAACAAAGGCCGTGAAGGTTGTAAAATCGAACGCAACTCAACCACCTCGCTTAGCAATGGAAATCCTGGTCTCGGCTGCGGTCGTAAGCCGTGGGCTGCCCATACTGTCGCTGTTACTTGTTTGTCCAACATCCCTCATTGTAGCATTGACGAAAGGAATGAGCAACCGTTCGGGGCTGTCAATCACGTGAAGTGATAACCCGGCAACAGTAGGTCAGGCGGCCATTTTCCTGCCCTGCTTGTAGCCCCCCCCCCCACCATTGGAAGCATCAGATTGGCTCTTGTGTGGGACAGTGGATCCAATTAGAACAGTGCTTTTCAAACTTGGCAAAACACATGGACTTCAACTCCCAGAATCCTTTAGCCACCACGCTGGCTGGGGAATTCTTGGAATTGACGTTCGCTGTGTCGTAAAAGTGGCCAGGTTTGAAAACACCGTGAACTAGAAAGATTGTATGCTCCAAGTTCTACCCTAAGAAAATTTCAAGGATGCGTCAAGACAAGAGAGTCCTGAAAGAGATAAATTCTGAATGTAGCATTTGTTTTCCCACCTATCCACCTCTGCACAACTCTTTTTTTCCCCCTCTGATGTGGGCCCAAGGAAACACAAGTTGTCACCTTTGAACAGGGTTCACAGGACGTCGTTCTCAACTTTCTTGAGATTTGCTTGAAGTACAGAGGTACTAGTTCTCATGAAAGTTAGAAACAGTTAATTCAACATTTTCATGAGGTTTTGGCCCTGGGTCTGTTCTCCCCGCTTGCTGTTTTTAGATCCCGGATATTTCGTTAGCAAACTAGGTAACATCTTCAGTGGTGGGGTTGGTGTTGGGTGAAGTACCTTGTTCATTTATATAGGTCAGGGCTCCCCAAATTTGGCAACTTTAAGACTTGTGGACTTCAACTCCCAGAATTCTCCAGCCAGCTTCCTCTGATATAAGTCAGGAGTGTTCTGTTCTAGGCCTCCCAAAAAGCACTAAGTCAATTCTGAGCAAAAAAACCTCTTTTATTACATTAATGTGAATTTATTTTATTCACAGTCAGCCAAAGGCTTGGCAAACAGTCTTGCCGAAGGTATACTAATGAGCTCAGACCGTTATCAATCCTGGAACGCTGCCCCGTAAAATTACACACTCAGTGCTGACAGGGAAGGGCTGGGTTATACAGGCAAATCTTCACGAGGCTGCAACGAAGGAAGGAATTAATGAGCGAGTTGTTTCCTGCAAAAGCCCCCTCTCCTTTTACTTCTCTTTTAATCCTGATGGGAGGGGCCATTCATTGTCCACCTCGGGCCTTACTCCCACGTCATCCCTGAGTTCTAAATTGTGCCTTCCTTTTGTCAGCTCTACGCATGCGCAGGCTGGGAACCGGTTCCAGAAGCTTCCCCGCCTCACTGCTGTCGGAGCCCGAAGGCAGATGATGACTGCCAGCCTGCCCTGGCCCCATCTCTGTTTGTGATGCAGAGCCCTCATCTGAGCCTTCCTCAGCCTCCAGGAATGGCCCAGGTTCCTCCCCAACAACCTCACTACTGCTGCCAGCTCCACCAGCCGCTGGCAGGCCACAACATGTTGGTCTTGCGATTGGTCATGGCACTTCACCCCAAAACACCGCGGATGATGTTATCTAGTTTGGTAACGAAATGTCCGGGAACTAAACAGCAAACTTGGAGAACAGATCCAGGCCAAAATTTCATGAAAATGTAGAATCCCTGCATTGCGAGGCACTTCGGCTCGTCTCTCAAGCCAACACGGTTCATTTATTTGAAATGTATTCTTCCCAAAAAAAACTGTTTTATCTCCCGGCTTCTTTTGCTCCCTTGTTTTCAGTTCCTCCTCCTCTTCGGCTATGGAATCCATCATGTTAACAGGCTTTATAATAAAACATGCTTTCTATGGCAATGCGATGGTTGTGTGTGTGTCTGTGTATATGTGTTTTCTGAGGTTCTCGCGGGTATTTGTATGTGGATCTTTAGTTATTCGGGTTTTCTCCCGCGTAAGATTGGAAGTATCTAGGCAACGTTTCGATGAAGTCTCATTCATCATCTTCAGGCTTGTGTCTTCGGCTCTGTGCTTCTTCTTTCCATCACTCTGAGAAGCACAGAGCCGAAGACACAAGCCTGAAGATGATGAATGAGACTTCATCG